CTGGGATTATAGGCGTGAGCCACCATACCTGGCCCTCTTTTTTTTTCTGGAGATAGAGTCTCACTCTGTTGCCCAGGCTGGAGTGCAGTGGTACCATCTCAGCAGCCTCTGCCTCCTGGGTTAAGCAATTCTCCTGTCTCAGCTTCCTGAGTAGCTCAGATTACAGGTGCCCACCATCACACCTGGCTAATTTTGTATTTTTAGTAGAGATGGGGTTTCACCATGTTGGCCAGGCTGGTCTTGAACTTCTGACCTCAAGTGATCTGCCTGCCCCGGCCTCCCAAAGTGCTGGCATTACAAGTGTGAGCCACCACGTCCAGCTGCACTCTTGTCCCAGGTGCCCCATCCCTTGGGCCCAAATGTGGCCATCTCAGGGGAGCCCCTTGGGCCCAGCCAGGAGGAGCAGGCCTGAGGGAGCCTACCTGGGGGAAATGAGGCAGGGGACTGGGAGAAGAACGGGACCCACTCACAATTCAAAGGTCTCATCAAACAGTGGGTGAAGGTCCTTCTTGTGCTTCTGGGTCTCCCGGGCAGCCAGCTCAGGGAACTCATGCCTGGGCTCCAAGGTCAGCTGGACAAAGGGGTCGCTGGAGCCTGGCAAGTGGCGGGGGCGTGTGCATTAGTTGAGGGTCTCACAGGTACCCCACCCCTACAGCTATGCTCTGCTCAGCAGCACTGACCCCTCCTGGTAACTGGAGGAAATGCACCCAGAGCTCCTGCAGGGTGAGCAGAGCCCCAAGGGTGGCTGAGACAAGAGGGCCAGGACGGGACCACAGGGAGTGGCCAAAGGGCAGCCTCCACTCACCGTTGGAGTCCAGGGGAAGCAGGCTGGAGGCGCTGAGCAGCTCCACACGCAGCTTCTGCTCAGAGGCGCGGTAGCAGGCCTTGACTGTCACAGCCCCCAGCTCCTCAGAGGTGGTGTCTGCCTGGGGTGGGGAGCAGGGGCAGGGTCAGCAGGGACACAGTGGAAGCGAGGTGCTCCAGAGGCTGCAGAGGGCACAGCACAAGGGAGGGACCTCACCTGCTGCTGGATGCGGCTGCAGAAGTACTTCCGGATGAGCTCCCGGCTGGAGGCCGCCTGCAGCTCCAGGTCCCTCTGCAGAGCCTGGGAACACATACAGCTGAGAATCCAAATGGACCGCACGCCCAACCACAGCCAGGGCCCGCCCTCCAGGAGCTGGCGGTCAAGAGTAAGATGCCCATTTGAAATGGAAAGTATTGGGTCATGGGGCCACAGGCAGGAGCCACCCTCAGGCCAGGCAGACAGCAGGAGAGGCACAGACAGGGCTGGCTTCACGGGTGTGCTTCCTTGACCCCACCGCCCCCGTGCAGGCACACAGGGCCCTGTGCTTAGGAGGACCCAGGCTTGGTTTCAGGTTCTGTTGTCACCGTTTTAAAATTTGAATAACTTTTGAATAACTTTTGAATAAGGGGCCCAGCTTTTCATTTTATACTGGGCCCCATAAATTATGTAGCGGGCCCTGGACATAGGTGAGTGCCAAAAGGCAGGCTCCCCGGACCTCCTGCGGGGAAGCTCACCCAAAGCCCCTACCTGGAAGGTGGCAGTGTGCAGAGCCTCGGGCGGCAGGCCACAGCCCTCAGCGTGGAAGCAGATCTCCAAGTTCTGAGGGAGATATCAGAGTTGACCCCAGGCACCCTCCCACCAGGGTTATCATTGCTGTGACCGGTTCTGTTACCTGCAGGGCAATCTTCAGCCTGTTGGAAGCCAGGGACGAGCTGCGTTGGGAGGCGGCCGCCTCTACCAGCACTGTGAGCGTGTGGGTCCAGAGCAGGGTCAGGAGGCTGGGGTGGGGGCCAGAGGGATGTGGACACAGCACAGCAGGGCAGTGGTGGAGGAGGAAGCAAAGACACTCTTGAGAAAGGGGAGGCCTCAGGGACCCAGCCACACCCCAGCTCCTCCCACCCCAGGTGAGGCTGGGGAGAGGGCGGGTACAGGACCAGCAAGGGGCAGGTGGGGTCAGTCCTATCCAACACACCTCTCAACCTCAGTGAAGAACCCTCCACAGCAGGCTAATGGAACCCACAAACAAGGCTGGAGACAGGGAGGAGGCCAGGCCCCCAGTGACAGAACTTGATTTAAGACAGTAGCAGGCCAGGCGCGGTAGCTCATGCCTGTAATCCCAGCACTTTGGGAGGTCGAGGCAGATAGATCAGGAGATCAAGAGATTGAAACCATGCTGGCCAACATAGTGAAACCCCGTCTCTACTAAAAATACAAAAATTAGCTGAGCGTGGTGGCGCGTGCCTGTAGTCCCAGCTACTTGGGAGGCTGAGGCAGGAGAATCGCTTGAACCCGGGAGGCGGAGGTTGTAGTGAGCCAAGATTGCACCACTGCACTCCGGCCTGGCAACAGAGCAAGACTCCAGCTCAAAAAATAAAAATAAAAACATTAGCCAGGCATAATGGCATGCACCTGTAGCCCCAGCTACTCAGCAGGCTGAGGTGGGAGGGATCGCTTGAGCCCACGAAGATGAGGCTGCAGTGAGCCGTGATCACGCCACTGCACTCCAGCCTGAGTCACAAGAATGAGATGCTGTCTCAAAAAAAAAAAAGCAGGCCGGGCGCAGTGGCTCATGCCTATAATCCCAGCACTTTGGGAGGCTGAGGCAGGCGGATCACAAGGTGAGGAGATCGAGATCAACCTGGCTAACATGGTGAAACCCTGTCTCTACTAAAAATACAAAAATTAGCTGGGCGTGGCAGCATGTGCCTGTAGTCCCAGCTACTGGGGAGGCTGAGGCAGGAGAATGGCGTGAACCCAGGAGGTGGAGCTTGCAGCGAGCTGAGATCACGCCACTGCATCCAGCCTGGGCAACAGAGTGAGACTCCATCTCAAAAAAACAAAACAAACAAACAAACAAAAAAACAAAAAAAAAATTGGCTGGGCACAGTGGCTCATGCCTGTAATCCAAGCACTTTGGGAGGCTGAGGCGGGCGGATCACTGAGGTCGGGAGTTGGAGACCAGCCTGACCAACATGGAGAAACCCCATCTCTACTAAAAATACAAAATTAGCCTGGCATGGTGGCGCATGCCTGTAGTCCCAGCTACTCAGGAGGCTGAGGCAGGAGAATCACTTGAACTGGGAGGTGCAGGTTGCGGTGAGCCCAGATCATGCATGCCGTTGCACTCTAGTCTGGGCAGCAAGAATGAAACTCCATCTCAAAAAAAAAAAAAAAAGCATGGCCAGGCGCAGTGGCTCACGCCTATAATCCCAGCACTTTGGGAAGCCCAAGGTGGGGTGATCACCTGAGGTCAGGAACGAGAGACTCTGTCCCCCTGCCAAAAAAGTAGTTAATTAATTTGTGCAACACATTTAAGTGCCCATTATGTACCCGGCACTGTTCTTTCCAAAGTTTTTTTCAGATAGGGTCTCACTCTGTCACCCAGGCT